AGCTTGGCTTAGCTTGGCTTAGGTTAGCCTAGCCTAGCTTAGCATAACATAGTTTAGCTTAACTTAGCTTAGCGCAGCGCAGCATAGCGCAGCCTTAGCACAGCATAGTATAGCATAGCGTAATATAGCATGACATAGCATATCACCTCCTAGCTTATTACATCATAGCATAGCATAGCATGGCGTAACATAGCACAACATAACATATCATAGCATTGCTTAGCACATCACAGCGCAACATATCATAGCATATCATATCATAACATATCATATCATGGCGCAACATAGCATAGTATAGCATAGCATAGCGCAGCATAGCATATCTTAGCATAGCCTAGGATAGCATAGCATACCCTAGCATAGCATAGCATAGCGCAGCATATCATATCATTGCATATCATAGCGCATCATAGCATAGCATAGCATAGCCTAGCATAATACAGCGCAGCCGAGCGTACCCTAGCATATCACATCATAGCATAGAATAGCATAGCATAGCGCAGCATAGCATAGCATAGCATAGCAGCAACACAAAGGCAACTCAACAGCAGCAACAGCAAATCAAAGCACAAGCAACGCAACGCATAGCTTAGCATCGGTGTAGATGTAGATGTTGCTTGTGGGTCTAGCAAAGCATAGCATAGCATAGCAGGCACATAGCGCAGAATAGCATAGCATAGCTTAGCATCGGTGTAGATGTATCTGTTGCTTTCCTAAATGCTCCAACTCCTAGGTAGGGTGGCACTGGGATAATTAAAACAATGTGGGTGGGTCGCGGGTTGGGTCGCAGGTGGGTCGCGGGTGGGTCGATGGTGGGTCGCGGGTGGGTCGCAAGCCGGGTGGCGGGTGGGTCACGGGTGGGTCGTGGGGGGGTCGCGTGCGGATCGAGGGGTGGGTCGCGAGCGCATCGCGGGGTGGGCGGGTCGCGGGTGGGTCGCGGGGTGGGTCGCGGGTGGGTCGCGGGGGGTCGCGGGGGGAACGACGCAACAAAACAAGCAGAATCCTCGCCGTGGATCCCCACTTCAGCCACGCACCCAGGGACAGTGAATGACCGTTCGGCCCCCTCACTCTGACTGAGTGGGTCGCGGGGTGGGTCGCGGGGTGGGTCGCGTCGCGGGTGGGTCGCGGTGGGTCGCGGGGTGGGTCGCGGGTCGCGGGTGGGTCGCGGGTGGGTCGCGGGGTGGGTCGGGGTGGGTCGCGGGTGGGTGGCGCGGGTGGGTCGCGGGTGGGTCGCGGGTGGGTCGCGGGGTGGGTCGCGGGTGGGTCGCGGGGTCGCGGGTGGGTCGCGGGGTGGGTCGCGCGGGGGTCGCGGGGTGGGTCGCGGGGTGGGTCGCGGGGTGGGTCGCGGGCTGGGTCGCAGGGGAAACGATGCAACAAAACAAACAGAATCCTCGCCGTGGATCCCCACTGCAGCCACACACCCAGGGACAGTGAATGACCGTTCGGCCCTCTCACTCTGACTGAGTGGGTCGCAGGCGGGGTCGCTGGGTGGGTCGCATGTGGGTCGCGTGTGGGTCGCGGGGTAGGTCGCGGGTGGGTCGCGGGGTGTGTCGCGAGTGGGTCGCGGGGTGGGTCGCGGGGTGGGTCGCGGGGTGGGTCGCGGGGTGGGTCGCGGGGTGGGTCGCGGGGTGGGTCGCGTGTGGGTCGCGGGGTGGGTCGCGGGTGGGTCGCGAGGTCGCTGGGTGGTGGGTCGCGGGGCGGTTTCGGGTGGGTCGCGAGTGGGACGACGACAACAAGCAAACAAACAACAGCGCAACAACGCAACAACGCAGAACCCTCATCACGGATCCCCACGTCAGCCACGCACTCAAGGACAATGAATGACAGTTCGGCCCCCTTTCTCTGATTAGTATTCCTTTTCCTCCTCCTCCTCCTCCTCCTTCTCCTCCTTCTCCTCCTTCTCCTCCTTCTCCTCCTCCTGCTCCTCTACCTTCTCTTCCTCCTCATCCTCCAAGAAGGGAGAAACGAAGAGGGGGGAGGAGCAGGATCGGGAGGATACGGGCAGGAGGGAACGCGTCCTCCGAACGAAGAGGAGCAGGGATGACGATGGCGGCTACGAGGACGAGAAGCAGGAGAAGAGGAGGAGGAAGAGGAGAAGCAAAAAGGAGCAAGGCGAGGCAGGCGCCGATATCCGCAACCGCGCTGATGCGCGGTCGCGCGCCTTGAAGGTGTCGGCGGTGGGGCCGTAGCCCTTTAGATGGTAACATCTGGAGAGCTACCGCCCCACCGCTGGTAGGGCTGACGCCGGGCCGCGCGCCAGGAAGGGGAGGAAGGGGCAACTCGGTCAGCCTGCTCGTTATAATTCTGTTATGTCCCCGACCAATCTGGCGGCTGTCTGGCCCAGAAGTCAGCCTCTTCTGTATTACATCCCTCGCCTCCTACCTGGTATATCCTCATCCGTTTCCTCCTCTTCCTCCTCCTCCTCCTCCTCCTCCTCATGTTCCTTCTCCTTCTTGTGTTAATCCTCACCCTACACTCCAAGCTCCCAAAGTTCACCCTGACAGGTTGACAGGTATCCGCAAGAGTTCTGGCGAAAGCAGGCGTTTCCATCAGCGCTCCCGTATCGATATTTGAATGTCGTGCCCATGGCCGCCGACGGAGGCAAAACAGCTACCACCCCTCCCCCTCTCTCCTCCCACTCCCTCCCATACCCACCCACCGCAATTTCCCTCTTCCACTCTCCCTGCACATCCTCTGCTTCATCCCGCTCGTGTCAATCCATGTTATACTAATATCCTCCTCCTCCTTCCTCTTCCTCCTTCTCATCCTCCTTCTAATCATCGTCAGCATCATCACCACCACCACCACCGTCAGCACAAGTCAGCATCATCAATCATCATTGCAATTGTCAACATCCTCATCACCACCATCGTCATTACCAGCATCATCATCATCATCATCATCATCATCATCATCGTCATCACCATCATCAGCACCATCATCATCGGCATCGTCATCGTCGTCATCATCGTCAGCATAATCGTCCTCATCGTCATCGTGGTCGTCATCGTGGTCGTCATCGTCCTCTTCGTCATCATCACCACCCCTATAACCACCACCCTCATCTTCATCCTCATCATAACCATCATCACCGTCGCCGTCATCACCCCCATCATCAGCAACATCATCATACTCATCATCATAATCCTCATCCACATCCTGGTCCTCATCCTTAGACACGTCATCATAACAACCGCCAACATCCGTATGCTATGCTGTTTCGTTAGGCGGAGACTTGAAGTTCTGGAAACGGGTTGCTCCTCCACAGCCGAGGGAAAGGGAAACGGCCTCCGCCCAAGGACACGCACGGACTAGCACAGTCGAACTGGTTTCGACCCGAGACTGCTCCTTTTCTGGGCAGGGTGGGCGGGCGAACCAAAAAAGGGCTTCGGATGTACACCTGAAACGACACCACTCTCCCCCCACTAACCATGTCCGCACACGCACTCCCATGATATGCTGTTTCGTTAGGCGGAGACTTGAATTCTGGAAACGAGTGCTCGCTGCGATCGGCGGGCTGCTCCTCCACAGCCGAAGGATGAGGAAACGGCCTCCCCCCAAGGACAAGCACATACTAGCACAGTCGAACTGGTTTCGACCCAACACTCCCCAACCCCCTACTCAGGGTTGGCATTATAAACAGAAGCTCTCGCAAGGGATAGTAGAGACCGAGCGAGCGTGTGGTCCAAAACGTCGGGCCTCTTGGTGGCTAGAACTGCGCGGCTTACGCCGTCTTAGTCCATACCTCTCAACTGCGCATGCGGGGCCCAAGTGTTATCGCGCCTTCCTGTGCGACTGTGGCACGCGCGACCGAGTCCCGCTAAGTCTTCGGGATCGAACCCTACATGCATGAAAGCGCCGCGGTGCCTCCAGGATGCTCCGAACATGCATCTGTAACAGGTGAATGTTCTGACGCACGCGGCAGGCACGCCACTGCCTGGAACAAGATGTGACCACGCCCAGCTCCCTTCAGGTATCTCGGAAACAAAAGGCACCCGGGACTTCCAACGCAGTGTAGCAAGACGACTCAGTCTTTCAGCAGCGGCTGCAGCGGTTGCCACTTGCCTTGCTGGCGCCTGGTAGCGCGGGCGACACAAACAGGAGAAGAGCTTCCTTCCGCCTCAGGTGACCCAGCACTCGCTGTTCTAGGGGAGCGCCCAGCCGCTGGTCGCCGAGCGTCTCTGCGCGCTGCGCACTGGTGGGTATCCCGCATGGGGGCAGCTTCGATCCGACGGTGGTCACCTGGCCCCCATATCAGCAGCGCCTTGCCCCTCGCGGCGAGGGCTGGATGCCGCCCAGTAGCGGAGCCGCGCGGCCCCGCAGCAAGGCGGGCTCGAGCCCGCGCAGGCGCTGCCCGCCGTTGGCAAGCAGCGGCGGGCTGTAGGTCTGTGCCCACTGACCCAGCCAAGCGTTCTTCTCGTACCTGACAATGTTCTTCAGCTGCCGCCAACCTCCTCGGCGCTGCACTTCCGCCTGGCTGCGTTCGCCACTGGCGCGATCGATGCTCGCTCCCGAGTGCCGCACTTGGCATGGCGCGATCCGCCGCAGCTGAGGCACACCGCGCGTGTCTTTCATCTGCTGCAGAAGCATGGGGCAGTCGAGAGGCCACGCTGTTTGCTGGGGGGTCATGCTTTGCAGCTCCTCCATCACAGGTCCGATCCATAGCAACCACGGCGAGTCCAGCCTCGCGCTCAGGTCGAATCGGGTCGGGCGAAAGGGGGGGATAGCAAAGGGGGGGTTTGAGAATCAGCTCACGTAGCTGATTTTCCCGGCGCCTCCCGGCGCCGGAGGCGGCTATGTATCGAGGAATGGGCCCCTCGGTGAGGCCGAAACCAGCTGCATGCAGCAAATTTCGTAACCCCCCCTTTCCCAATCCCCCCCTTTCGCCCGACCCGATCGAACTCCCCAGCCATGTCTGGAGCCGCCCTTTCCGGCGGGCGCAGGAGCAATCCCCGGCGGCGGCCCCCCGCGCGCGGCTTCGCGGTTTCGCCGGGGCGCAACCTGAAGGGGGGCGACGGCCTGAGGTATGTCGAGACCGCCAGTGCCATGAAGATCGCCATCGCGCGGCGGCCCATCAGTGCCAAGCCGTGCAGAGGGGCGCGCTAGATGACCAGCGGCTCTGGCACCCTGGCTCGGCCAGGCGTCAACTTCTTCCAACCTTTGATTGCCTTCCACATGCGCGGCGGAGACCCCGCCCCCAGTCGCCCATACTTTAAGTAGAAGTGGTTCACTGCCGCCGCCACATGCATGCCCGTGGGCGCCCGTTCGCCCTGCAGGCGCAGCGAGGCGAAGTAATGGGCCGGGCAGGCGCCCATCGTCTCCGACGGCAGCTCGAATAAGTCCTGGCGGCCACGCCTCCCCCCCACATGCTCGAGCACCCGATGGCATTGGGCCGGCGCGCGTGGCGTCGCCGTGCTCGGCTCCAGGTAGCGGTCGATCATCGCTCCGATCTCCATCGCTCGGGCGACTGCCAGATGCCTCCGCTTCACCCGTCTCGATGGCGTCCGCTGGCGCTCGGCCGCGTTGGCGGCCTCCGACTCGCCGGCAGCGCCGCTCGAGCTCGCCTCGGCTGATCGAGCCCGCTCGGGTGGCGGCGGCCTCGGGCGCCGATGCCGCCTCGAGGCTCACTGGGAGGGCAGCGGCCGCCTCGCTGACGGCCCGCGCCAGCATTCTCGGTCGTGGCCTCTCCGCGGGCGCAGCGCTGGAGCGAGCTCTCACAGGGGTC